CCTCTCCTGACCCGCCCGCTGCTCCCCTCAGCAGTGTACTTCGTCGATCTGCCTGTTCTGCTCTCCACTCTGTCTCTGGTGAAGACTCTCACCCTCCGCATCTCTGGCCTGTATCCCAGTTCTGTATGAATAAATAAATAAAAATCTTTAAAAAAAAACAAAAAACAAACTTGGGGACACTTCAAAAAGAGTGTATGCTCAGTGATAAGGAGGTGCTGGTGGGCCACAAGCAAGCTTCCTGCAGAAGTCAAGTTCACCATGGTGGCATCAAGACAATGTCCACGGAACACCAAGGTCCCACAGGCAAAGGCACAAGCTGAGCAAATGGAACCGGAGGAGGCTGTTTCTGGAGGCGGAAAGAACATGCTGAAGAAATTGTACTCTTGAAAAAATAAAATATGACATCCTTTCCATGGAAATAATAGAAATATTTCAAGCACTATCCAGACACGGCTGATTGCTTTTAATTTAGCGCCCAGCCACAGACAAGTCAAGTCAGGTCTCCGCACGTCACTACGGGGTCAAATATGTAGCATCTACCATTGAGGAAAAAGCTACAAAAGCATGTATGTCTGACTTCTGAAGGGTAACCTTCTCAGTATACACTTACATTTATAATTTAGTCAAAGACCATTTTCAAATACAAAAGCTGTATGTGAAAAAGCCAGTGATAAGGCACAATAAGGCAATTTTAAAAAATGACTTTTCTGGAGATTATGAAGGAAAGCCATCTCGTTTTTGTGCATAAAACCCAGCATGATAAAATACAAATGTGTGAAACATCATAGACTTTATGATTTGAAACAGTGTTAGGGATCACCTGAGGCACAACGGTTAGACTACCTAGCTTCATCCACAAGTCTAGGCAAGGCTGTGAGGGCAAGGCCGAAACACCACATCTACTGTGAGAGGGAGACGACCGGGCCTTTCCACAAAATGTTGACCATCTGTGTTGTGCTTTTCTCCACGTTGAACTAAACAGTGCCCCAGGAAAGAGTTCACATTTTATTTCTTAAATTGTGTGGCAGGGCCCTCCCTGGTGGCATAAGGGATGAAAGCGCAGCACTTTGAAGCTGTCCACAGCCACTGCAGCACCAGGTGAATCCCTGGCCGGGGAGGTGGCCCACATGGTGCAGCAGCCCTCTCCTGTCTCGTCTGCTGCTCCTCTCAGCAGTGTACTTCAGTAGATCTGCCTGTTCTTCTCTCCATACCTCTGGCCTAGTATGCTCTTGTATGCATACAGAAATAAATCTTTTTTTCTTTTTATTAAAGATTTGTTTATTTTATGCAGATAAAACTGGGGTACAGACCAGAGGTACAGGGGCAATGAGAGGATGCACCAGAGACAGAGTGGGGAGCAGAACAGCAAGATCCACGAAGTACACTGCTGAGGGGAGCAGCAGGTGAGACAGGAGAGGTCTGCTGCATGGTATAGGTCACCTCTGGGTCCGGGATCGAACTTGCACTGAAGTGGCTGTGGCCAGCTGGCAGTGCTGCATCCTAATCCATTGCACCATCAGGGAGGGCCCATAAATAAATCTTTTTTTTTTTAATCAGGATTTTTTAAAAAAGACTTCTTTATTTATGAATACAGAACTGGGATACAACCCAGAGGTGCAGGGGTGGTGAGAGGACTCACCAGAGACAGAGTGGGGAGCAGAACAGGCAGATCAACGAAGTACACTGCTGAGGGGAGCAGCAGGCGGGTCAGGAGAGGTCTGTTGAGCCATGTGGGTCACCTCTGAGCGGGGGATCGAGCTCACACTGAAGCGGCTGCAGCTAGCTTGCAGTACTGCGTCCTAGCCAGTTGCGCCACCAGGGAGGGTACCCCATAAATAAATCCATAAAATATTTTTAAAAATTGTGTGGTGGGTGTTCACTCTATTATTCTTTATGTTACAGTATATACTTAATAGTACAAAACAGGTATTAAAAAACACAAAAGGATATCTGTGTTTGGAACACACAGAAAAGTGTTAAGAGGAAGTGGGCAGGGATGAAACAAAGACATAGTTGATAAGAAACGTGAAACACTTAAAGATTCAGAAAAATGAAAAAAAGCATTTTAAAAGTTGGGTGACAGAAAGCACACTTTCCCTTTCAAAATGCAATGCTTCAATTTTTACTCTTAAGAAATATGTGCTACCTGACTTCCTTTTAGAAATTATTTCCTGGCTAAAGAACACACGCCCACCCCACAGCCCCTCCCTATTAACGTCTCAACCCATCACAGCACTTACAACGTCTGTAATAGTTTTTCAATTGGACACATTCTATATCCTGCCTGAGGGTGCTCAGGCGAAAATGAACAGATTTGCAGGGTTAATACTGTAGTTAGACTGTGACCTCATTCAACACAGCTCTAACACTGCAAGGTCTATAAAGAAGGAGAAAAAAATGAAAGCATAACTGATTGGTTGAAGGATTCCAGATTTCTCAGAATATATACCATGTACACTGTAAATCATAAATGTATGGATTGCTAAATTTAAAATTAAAGCAGTGTTTCTTCAGCTAGGGTGTGATGTGGCGTGGGTGCCCATTACACACCTGTGTGTGTGCGCACGCACACACACACACACACACACACACACACACACACACACCCCAAGGTGCAGATTAACTCTTAAAGTCCAGGAAGAAGTTTCAAGGCAGCTGGGCTCAGGCAGACTGGTAGGACTGTGAAGTATAGGCTTGTCCTTCTGAGAGCCTTTCTAGTTCTTCTCAGCTCTGTTACCCTTTCTGGAAGCTGTTCTTGTTCTGAATGTATCATTTCAGTTATCATCACTTTAGGCATTAACTGATATTAGCAAACAGGGTAAAGGGTTTTCATTTAGTATTTTCTGATCTGGTAAATGTTGACAAAGAACTTTTATTATCTATAGGCTGGCGCCGGGAGACTTGGCCCTTGTGGAAGATACTGTTAACTCTCCACTTCATCTGCAAATGATTCATCTTACAATTGTGATCACCTCCTCTCACCAGTGACTGGGACTGACTGCTACTTTCTCTTCCTTATCTGGATATTGACATCACCCATAACTGCAACAACCATCTGCCCGCCAGCCTAAGGATGAAGCCAATGCCTGGGATGGTTGAGGTGAGAGCTGGACAGACCTGTGTCCTCACTAGTATTGTTACAGAATTACTACATCCACCAACTAACTCCTTGTCTCCTATCTCTAGATTTCTTGCTACTTGGGAAGATTAATTTCTTTTATTTTTAAAGCAAACTTGAGATTTCTGTTACCTATCTTGATAGAGTACCCTTATTTTAACCGGTTGCCCACCGTGAGATCATTTGGGTTGGTGAGAATCATAAATAGCTGCCTGCTGAGAGTTTCTATCAGATCATCAGCATTCTTCAACTCTATGTTCCTACTTGCTTTCCCATTTAATCACTCATCCTTTACATCTCAGTTTGCAACGTCTTTTAGTATTACTTCCGATGAAATGAAGCCATAAACTACAATCAGAGAGGATGCAAATGTCTGGAATGTGCCATCATCACAACTGAAGATCAGCTCAGAGCACTGACGTGTCTACTAAAAAAGAGAGCCATTTCTCAAAAGCCCCTTTCTAGAACAGGACCTTCCCTCAGGGGAAAGGAAACCCACCCTGACATTGATGGACTTAGCCATTGCCTCCTTCTGCATGTGGCTCACGGTTCCCTCCTTCTGAGATGCTTATTAACACACCCTAAGTGCCAGGAACTATGGGGGAGTGGGGAGGAGGATGTACTACAGCAAATTC